TACAGTACTGTGAATGTATTTTCTCTTTCTTATGGTTTCCTTAACATTTTCTTTTCTCTAACTTATGTTATTATAAGAATACAGTATATAATATGTATAATATATAAAATATGTCAATTGACTGTTTACATTATTGGTAAGGCTTCCAGTCACCAATAGGCTATTAGTAGTTAAGTTTTGGGGGAGTCAAAAATTATACAGAATTTTTCAACTGCAGCGGGTAAGGGGGTCAGTGCCCCTAACCCCTACATTGTTTAAGGATCAACTGTATTTGATTTCAGTTGGTCCTTGGAGACCACATTCCTTTTCTCCAGAATAAAAAATGGTAAAAGGAGCAGATTAATTTTGGACCCCTTCTCAAACAATATTTTGTTTAACTGCACTGAGGACATCAATACCACATCATTTTACCTATAACAGTTCCCTCTTTACATGTACAGTGGGGGACTCCAACCTCAAGTTTCCCTTATGACTAGTTATGTGCCCTTGGAAAAGTTGATTTAACAGCATGAGATTCAGTTTCTTCATCTATCAGATGAGGATTTTTTTGGAACTGCTTTCACACTTCTAATGATCAGATGACATAACAAGCATACAGGACGGGGCACTATCTTTTAAAACCATCTCTTACACTCTCTCTCCACAAGGCCTCCTGATACTATAGCAAGGCTGTAAGTAGTTATTTTTCTTATTTATGTAAATTGAATTATAAATGCAATTGTAAGAGAGCACAGACTGTAACAGAGGGGTGAAAACAGCTTCCACTCAGCCTTGTGTTTTTGGAGAGCATCCAAGAGCCTTAACATTGGACGGGAGGACATTGTTGAGAAGGAGTGGCGAGAAGGAAAAACCTAGAAAATGAGGAGGTGTGTGATTACCTTGATTCTTACACTGAAACATTAAAAGTATTTAGAATTCTTTGTGTTAAGAAAACTGGATATGTATTCCCACCCACTTGCCACCACAAAAAGAACTTAGAGGCATTCGGCCTGTGCTGACTTGTACCACGCCATTCTGTTTGAACTCTTGTGGAAACATCAACCTTTCATGTAGGAGGAGCCAGTAGGATTTGTTAATATGAGAGAGCAAAAGATTCTGCAGGAAATTCTTAAGTACTTTTAAAGAAAACATTTCAAATTGGGGCTTTCCATTTTGCCATTCATTGGATGTTTATTCATAAGTATGCAGGAATTATAAAGTTTTCTTCAAGCTCTTGTTTAATGCTCCATCAATGCCAGCTCTGAACCTAGAGCTACAGGAATATAAATGTAAAGAAAATCAAATAATTCCTGAATGTGAAGTAGTTTCCGTGTTGGAGAGACGCATTTAAAAAAAAAAGTTGCCTTGGTAACTGAAAATAATTTTTTTTTAATGTACTATTATTTTCTCCATTTGAAATGGGAAACAGCCACACAAGGAAAAAGTGAAAGTAGAGGAACTGGAAAAACAAAAGTAGGAAAGGATTTATTCCTCTTAGCACAATGGCTACAGTCAGGCTGAATCACTCTTCCTCTGCATAAACATTCTAGAGTTGTAAGAATAGCCTACCAACCCCAGCTTGAAGGAAAAAGACAAAAGGTTAACTTCTGTAAAATAAGGAGCTTGCTACTGGTTTCCCATAGCACCTGAACGTGGGGTAACATAGTAAATTCAGACACTTTCTAGTGGTTTAAAAAACAATGTGCTTTTTAAAGTTGAAATCAACTGCAGGAATCTATATGAGGCTTCACTACTAGCACATTTAACAGAAACAATATTTTAAAATTAACAATATTGCTACTAATAGGGCAGCTAAAAGTCCTGAGTTCTTGGACAAACTTTGAGAGTTCAACCTGTCAATTATAGGATGAAGGAATCCCTGTTTTCCAGACTCAGAGATGGAGAATTTAGCCCAAGAGAAAAAGGAAGTTGGCAGGAGGCATGTGTGTAATTGACCCTTTCAGAACTGACCTCTGATTAATGATTTATTCCCACTCATGTAGGGGCAGCAGCAGCAATGGCCACAGAGCACAGGTCCACTAGTGAACCTGTCAGAATCATGTTTCCTTTCTGGAAGGTGACTGGAACTGAACCACTGATACTTCCAACTGAGCAAGCCTCCAGGGGTTCTTAGATTTATCGAAGGCAGGATTAGCCTACAGAGGGAAAAATAAAAGTCACTCTTGAACTGTTGATTTTAATAATACTTTTAAAATATTTTCTACCCCCTGGCTTGTTCTAGGATATATTGCAAAGGCTTCATAAATCTCCCATTTCCATTAAACCATTTTGAGTAGAGCAGCCAATTACCATGACTTCCAGGTTTGCTGTCTTATAAACCACATCAGCCTCGGTCCCCATGTCTTATCAGGGACAAGGTGTGGCTTTATCCCTTAAGGGTTGTATTTCTAGAGCACATTTATCTGAAGGTCTGAGAATCCTACCAGAAAAATATCCTTATATACTGTCCACAGAAAAGGAAAAGAGCAGTGGCGAATCACTTAAAATATCAAATGGGGGTATAAATCACTCAGTACCTCTTCTCCTTTTTGCTGATGTAAAGTCCATTTCCATGGAAACAGGGATTGGAAATAGCAACCTATGAGAAACACTGGGTTTATTGGAGCACACGGAAGTTTTAGTTTGATTTTCAGCCAAATCTTGAAAAAGCTAACCTTTGACTAATACCTACATGCTATTTTGATCACTTTTGAGAAGCAATATTATGGATTAAGGGGAAATCACTTTTTTCCACTTAAAGATAATTTTTTTAAAAAAAGCACATGCACAAACTAATTTGAGGATTGGGAGGCACTATAAGATTTGAAAGGCCCTCCTTGGTCATGCTTCCCACAATTTTCTGTCTCTGCTCTACCTAACATAGATGGATGACAACAAAATACTAACAATAATCTGCTCTGATTTGCAGATTTAGTTGCAGGTTGGACCCAGGGTTTTTAATTGATACATATCCCTAAGTGTGAAATCTCCGGACTGTTTTCATTTGCAGACGAAAAAAGTTTGATATAGAAAGACATCAAATAATACTTTATTCTGTAAATCAGATGCCTCCCTGCTTCTTTTAAAAAAAACAGGAAATGGTAAACTCAGATTCATTCTGGGAGGCAGAATGGTACCCTAGAGTAAGCAGACAACCTGTGGTCAAGAAGGTAAGAGTGTGACTGAAATTAAACCCCATAAAGTCTGGCAGCTCTCCCCATGCCATTTCTCCCACCTTTATTTGCCCATCCTGCAAGGCCTACTTCAAGACTTCTCTTTTCTCTGAAGCCAGTCCTCCAGGTTTGCAATATACATTTTTTACGGATTCAGCAATTGCAAATTCACCAACTGGCTAAAATGTATTTGTAACCCCCAAATTAATACTCGTGGTGCTTCCATGGTCATTTACGACACGTGCAGAGCAGCCATGTTCCCTCTGTGGTCAAACAAGGCAATACTCTACTTATTGTTTCAGCTGTTCTGTTGTAACCATGTCCTTTTCATCATCTAATTTAATGCCATGGTTTTGGCCTTTTTGTGGGTTTTTTGTTGGTGATTTTGCCATTTAAAATGTCCCCCAAGCACAGTGCTGAAATGCTGTCTAGTATTCCTAAGCATAAGAAAGCTGTGATGTACAGAGAGGCTGCATGTGTTAAATAATCTCCCTTCAGATGCTACTTGCAGTGCCATTGGCTGTGAGGTCAAAGTTCATGAATCAACAAAATATATTAAATAAGGTGGAAACCGCAGGCCACAGAGTTATCAGAAGCTGATAACTGATAGAAATGTGTGAGCTTGTCTTACAGAACAAGAGATAAGGGAACAGCCTGTTAAAACCCCTTTGCTGTAAATTACCTTCATTGATGAAGCTCGCTTTCGTTATCTTTTTTTTCCCTTTCTTCCTTTTTTCCTCTCTTTAATTGCGTACCTTCCTGGCTTCACACAGCCCAGCTGTTTTGCAGGAACTTGGAGTCAGCTCCCATCCAGTGCAAGCCAGCTGAGGCTGGTTGGGACCGCTGACCCTAGAACTGGGCTTCCACGGGTGTCTGTTGGGTGAATGGCCTTGTGACATCAGAGGACCAGAAAATTTCACTCTCTGATCACGCTAAGTGCCGCCATCTTAAATATGCAGGAAATGCAACCCAGTTGCTCCTGCACAGAACACCTATTCCCTCACCTTTTCCCTATCTCCAATCACCTTTCCCCACTCCTAAGACCACTGTGCTTACCCCATAAAAATCCCACCCAATGAGACTTGTTGGGCAAAGGGACCTGGTTCAGTGACAAGGTGCCTTTATTTTTTATATTTTATTTTATATTTTTTAATTTGTATGTCATATATATATATATATATATTCAATAGATTACATAATACTGTTTACAGTGGACTTGAGACCTAGCTGGTCCTTGGTGAAGATGTTGTTTTTTTTGTTTTTTCTTTTCTAGCTTATTTTTTATTGAGGTAATATTGATTTATAACATTATATAAGGTTTGTGTGTACATTATATTTCTACTTGCGTATACAATACAGCGTGCTCCCCACCAAAAATTTAGTTTCTGTCCATCATTATACAGTTGATCCCATTTATCCATTTCACCCTCTCACCCCTGCCCACCGCTTACCTTCTGGTAGCTACTACTCTGTTCTCTGTATCTACATGTTTGTTTTTGTTTGCTTTGGTTTGTTCATTTATTTTTGTCTATTTGTTTTTTGTATTCCACATATGAGTGAAATCATACCATATTTGTCTTTCTTCATCTGACTTATTTCACTTAGCATAATACCTTCAAAGTCCATCCACATTGTCACTAATAGCAAGAATTCATCTTTCTTCATGGCAGAGTAGTAGTCCATAGTATATATATCACATCTTCTTTATCCATTCATCCTTTGATGGACAGTTAGTTTGTTTCCATATCTTGGCTAATGTGAATCATGCTGTGATGAACAGAGGGATGCATATATCTTTTCAAATTAGTGCTTTTATGTTGTTCGGATAAAATACCTAGGAGTGGGATAGCTGGACCATATGGTAGTTCTGTTCTTAATTTTTTGAGGTGTCTTCATGCTATTTCCTTAGTCAGACCCTTATTATATGAAACCTTAGACTCTAGCGGTTGCTGTTATACTGTTTGAATCTTTGTTATGTACTTTTTGACAAATAATAACATAATAATAATAATATCAGCTCTCAGTGATTAAAGTTCCACTCTGTGACAGACAAGGAACTGAGAGCTTTACAAACATTACCCCATTTGTGGATGATTCATCTCCCAAATTAGATGGCAAACTCCTTTTAGTCAGGGACCTCATCATTTTTTACTGCACAATATTGTCTACCACAGAGACAGGCCCATAAAACTTGCTGGAAAATTGTGGTTTTGCTGTCTTCACTCTGTCACATATTTCCTTAGATGAAGATTTTTGAAAAGTGATTTCACCCAAGTAAATTTTCAACTATAGCTAATAATTAAATCCTAACAATTATATTCCTCATCCCTACCACTTAGTGGGTACTTCCAATTTTTCAAACACTGTGTTTAGTGCTATATATGCATAGTCTTATTTTATTCATTAGAATATTCCCTAGAAAAATTGATGATAGAAAGTTTAAGTGACTTTTCAAAGTCATTGCTCCTAAGGGATGAAGTTGGATTTGAATGCAGAGGTTCTTACCCATTTTAAGTATTTTCCCTCTTAAAATCAAAAACTTTCTTAAATTCCTTATAGAAGACTGGATATCATAATAACAAAAACTTAAGTGCTTATTGTAAGCCAAGTGCTGTCTAAGCAACTTGCATACATCAATTTATTTAAGGCTCACAGTAATCTTATGAAATCAACAGTGTCTTTCTTTTACAGTTATAAAGACACTGATACTTGAATAAATGATATTTGCCCCATGTCACCCACCTAGGGACTAAGTAGCAAGACCAGGATTTAAATGCCAAATATTCTGTCTCCAGAACCTGGGATCTTGACCATTTCACAATTCTGCTTTCAACCCACGAGGATACTTTTTCCATCTGTTGATAGATAATGACAAAAGGCAACTGTGAATTTATTAAAGAAGTAAGTGAGTTTCTCTCTTATTAACCATAAAATCAGCCATTGTGTTTGAAAAATAGGAGTAACTGAATGTAAGAGATATGTTGTTTATTCTATGGGCATGTGACCAAACACATTTCTGGTCCCTCCACCTCTGGCTGAGATGTGCTTCAAACTGAACAGAACCTACCAGACCCAGGATAGCTGACCACAGTTATTGCCACTACACAATTCTGGGGTCAGACAGACCCAAGCTGACTCTCAGCTCCACCACTTACTAGCTATGGGATATCAGACAACTAAATCATCTTTCTGGGTCTCATTTTTCCACCCCTCTCAAAATAATAATACTATCTGGCTCAATGACTTGCCGTGAGAAATAAGATAAAATATATAAAGAATTTAGCACAATAAATAATAGACAATCAATCAATGTAGGTTCCTTACCTCCTGGAAACCCCTACTTCTCTTCCAGTAGAATAGGGCACTTGGAGATCTTGGCCAGCTCAGCTCAGAAAAGAGTTCACCCCTTTGAACACTGAGATTTGGACTGCTATCCACTGTCAATAGCCACATTTCCACAGAAATCATTCCTGTCTAAGTAGAGAAAGCAAGCACTCCTCAGAAAACCAGGACCAAGAGCCCAAGGAAGGAGGTAGCACATTGTGATATGTTAACCACTAATTCCGTAATTAAGACATTTGAATTTTAACCCAAAACATAGTTCTGGCTGGCTTTAGAACCTTGTGTTAATTATGTAATTTACTTGATCATTCTTTTTTCTTTTTTTTTTTCCTAGTCTGCAAAATAGAGTTATTGTAATGATCATTAAGCTAATGCTTCTGCAGTCCTGGGACATGATAGGAGCTCTAGCTAGGTAGATGGTCATGTTTAGTGACAGTGGCTGTGTGTCTGCCATTGCCTGAGTTCTGTCTGCTTTCATCCTGAACACGGAGGAGGATTCTCCCTTCATCTGCATCCCTCATCCTCTCTCAAGGAGCTTTCAGAACTGTTGGACAGCAGGATGTCCACAGGTGACCCACACTTGACGGAAGCTGCACTGTGTTCCCTGGTCCTCACCAGCCATGGGAACTCTGTCTCCTCCTCCTTTTCTTTATTACTCCACTCGCTTCACATCTTCCTCTCTCCAATTGCATCTACATGCCTCTCCTCCCTTCTCCCAAACTCATGTCTAATTTTTGGCTCTATAGGCAAGTAGCAAAATCTTTCTGTCTCAAAAATACTCTTCTTTGAGTATTTGTTTCTGCTTCTGTTCTAAACCAAGGGTACTCTCAGGTAGCAATGAGAGAGTAAAGAAGAAGATAAATCTACAGGAAACAAATGGATACATCCTTCCACACTTATATATGTGCTTATATGTTATGATATACATTATATATTATATATTTGTATAGTTATGAGTATACATGTATTATATTCTACATATATTCTATCATTCAACCACATGTATTCTCTGAGAGCCTGCTATGTACTGACCATAATTCTAGATGCTCGATACGTCTTTACTTTCAAGAAAATTATAGTCTAACGAGAACAGGTAGTAATTAAGGAAACAATTTAATGTATTTATTTCTTTATTTGTTGTCTCTCCCCACAATAATAAATAACATAGATAATATATAAATTTTTTTATATAAAGATAATATGATGGTGGGTTGACCATTCCTCCCATAGGAAAAAATAATTCACACCTTCCATTATATTTGACCTTTCTGTGTGCTCATTCTAATGATGCTTACAGAATCCAAAGAGGCCAACCAGGAACTGAACTTTCTCCTTAGTGTGAGGAGGTTCAGATGCAATTATCTGTCCCTTACTTTGGAGGGGATGTCCCAGCATGTCCTGCCCACTAGACTTCTAACAATTTCAGTGATGTGGGAACCCCTCTGAATCTTTATAAGATTTACCTCCCATCCTCTGGAATGCATGAGTCTCACTAAAGCCTCCAGCGTACTTGCCACTTTTGATTCATCCCGTCTAATTAGTTTGATCAACTAACTGAATTACTTTGATGTTATCAATATGGTGGACCATGAAGATGTTTGGCAGAATGTCTAGATTATCCAGTTCCATTTGGACTATATTAAGAGAAAGGGCGAGAGAGTTAATAAGCCCTGGGAAAAGACCATAAATCTATACTATTGTCTGATGCAAGTGAATGCAAACTGTTTCCAGTCCTCCATCCTGATAGGGATGGAATGGAACATTTTCACCAGGTTTATGACCAGATACTATGCATCTGAATTTGTGTTACTCTTCCTCACCTGAGACACCACGTCTGGCACAGTAACAACAATTTCGGCTGCATCTTGGTTGGGTTTACAGTAATCCACGATTATCTTTCAGGATCCCTCTGGTTTCTGTAGGGGCCAGACTGGTGAATTAAATGGAGACGTGATGGGGAAGACATGATGAGGAAGATGTCATTCCAAATATGGAACAATGGGAAAGGTCTAGGATAGAAGAAAGGGGGAGATTGTGTTTACTTTTACACATATTGATTCTAAGATACCTTTGAGGAATACCAAATTGTCAATTGGATAAACATGTTTAGAGGGCAGAGGCCTGATCTGGGCTGGAGATGAAAATTTGAGTCATTACTTAGAGATATTTATTCAAGACATGGGTGTAAGAGAAAAATGTAGACTGAGAAGAGGAGAAAGGCTAGGACCAAGCTTTGAAGAATTCCAGCCCTCAGTGACCCACAGAGAAGAATAAGCCTGCCATTCACGTACTGTTTAAGAGACAAAGGTAGAAGAGCACCTTTTAAAACAATTCTAGTTGGAACAAACCAGCATCATTGTTTTGTAGTTTATCATATCCTAAGAGGGACATTTCACCTTCTATGTTATTCCTGCTCAAAATGCATCACCTGAATCTCATCATGAGGAAACACCAAACTTAAACTGAAGAACATTCTACAAGGCACCTGGCCTTTGAAGCCCCTTCAAAGACATCAAAGGCAAGGAAAATAAAGACTGATGAAACTGTTACAAATTAAAGAAATTTAAAGCCGTATGACAAGTATATATGATACAAGATACTGGATTGGCTTCTTCACTGGGAGAAAGAGCTACAAAAACATTTATGAGGCAAATAATGATTGTTTTGGTGTAGACCATGAATTAAATAACATTACTATACCAATGCTTAAATATTTGATTTTGAGAACTGAAGTGTGGTTATGTGAAAGAAAGTCCTTGTTCTTAAGAAACACAATTATTTCAGGGTAAACAGGCACAACACCTCCAATTTACTCTCCATTGTTTCAGAAAAGAATAGATAGATAGATAGACAGATAGATAGATAGATACATAGATGCAATGATAAAGGAAATTGGGTAAAGTATAAACAATTGATAAACCTGGGTAAAGTCTATACGGGAGTTTCTTATACTATTCTTGTAAATCTTCTGTAAGTTTAAAATTATGTCAAAGCGAAGTTACCCAAAAGATTCTGGAAAATAAAATATAATATTTTATTAAAAATTAAAAGTAAAATTATTATTAAAAAGTAAAAATAAAAAAGAAGAAAATAAAAGCAAATCTCAAAAAAAAAAAAAGACAACCAGAGCAAGGAAAAGGAAATATGAGATTGTTCTGGGCCCAAAACTAAGAGAATAAAATATCCCAGGAAAGAGAGTCAACAGCATTAAATCTGCTAAAAGTTCAAGTAAGGTAAGGACTGAAAATATCCTTTAGGCCAGGAACACAGACACATTGGTGATCATGAGAGCTGGTTTGAGTGGAGTTACAAAATGGAAGCGAGAGTAGAAAGGGTTAAGAAGTAAATGAGCCATAATGAGATGCCACTTCATACCCACCAGGATGGTTAATAACAAAAAGCAAATAATATGTATTAGCAAGGATGCAGAGAAATTGGAACCCTCATACACTGCTAGTGGGATTGTTAAACGGTGCAGCCACTTTGGAAAACAATTTAGCAGTTACTTCTTAAGAATGTTAAATGTACAGTTACTAGGTGACCCAGTAATTCTACTTTTAGGTATATACCCGAAAGAAATGAACACATATGTTCACATAAAAATTGTACACGGATAGTCCTAGAAACATTATTCATAATAGTGAAAAACAACTCAAATGTTCGTCAACTGATAATATGGATAAACAAAATGTGATATATCTATGCAACAGAATGCTATTTGGCTAAAAAGGAATGCAGTTCTGAGACACAGAACAGTATGGAAGAACCCTGAAAACATCCTCTCAAACGAAAGACCCCAGGCACAAAAGACCACATATTGTATGCTCCCATTTACATAATATGTCCAAATTAGGCAAATCCATAGAAGCAGAAAGGGTATTAGTAGGAGAGGGGAAAGGGGAGCGACAGCTACATGATAGTGGGTTTCTTTTGGGAGGGATGAAAAGATTTCAAAATTGATTGGGATGGTGGCTGTACAACACCGTGAATATACTATAAAGCACTGAATTTTACACTTTAAAAGTGTGCATTTTATGCTGTGTGAATTATATCTTCACAAAGCTGTTTAATTCTAAAAGATAATTAATGTTAAGGTCCTCACATTCCTAAATCAATAAATGTTTTTTAAATCTTCTCTTTGCATTAAATCAGGAAAAAGAAGTGTTAAAGAAACAGAGCTAACTAAATTAGATATCCGTGTAACACTTGTCTGTGAAAGGTAGGGGAGATGGGGTTACAATGGAAAGGTAGTGAAAAGTGCCTCTTTAGATTTTGAATACAGGAGAGGACATTTAGAACAGTAAACAGCTCTATTTAAACACGCCCTCAGTGTGAAAATGCGCCTAGTGATATGTGCAATAACTATAATATTTTCAATTTTCCAGAGATTGCTTATTTTTTCAAACTAATATTTATATTTTTATCCTTTCCAGCATTAGAAAGTATGCTAGAACTCAGAAACCTTGAGAACCATTGGACCAGTCTTGCTGTGCCCCGGATCCCCCCAGAGATACTGCATTTCAGATCCTGAATCCCATCCCAGCACCTAGAACCATAGCACTCTCCAAGGCCAGTTCTCAGACCCTAGAATTCCAAGTGTCACCAACCCTGGCCTTACCAGTCGTGGTCTTCACCTACTGAGTTAACAGAACTTCATATTCACCTTTGTATTACTGACAGTTATCACCTACGCTGTGACTGAAATTGCAGCTTTTACTTCAACCTACTTGATCTCCAGAACAAGATGCCTCAGTTCACAGCGGTTACTGGGGCAATTGTCCCAGCACAGGAGCATTTATAGACATTGATCCCATCTCCCACCCTAGTCTCTAGCCTATCTTAGTTAACTGGTTATTCCATGAAGATCCCCAGGATCTAATTAATGATATTCCTATGCTCACTTACTTAAGCTTAAAAACTCTCTGAAATCTTGGACTCTTCTCTTATTGTTCAGAATCAATCAGTGAATTAATCACTGTGGTAGTTCTTTCTTCTCTTTGGCAGTATTCAGATCTCCTCCACTATCAGGCACATAGAACAATTGCAGTCTCCATCCCATAATGTTGGCATGACCATGTTATTTCCTTAGGTCAATAAAATGGTAGCAAAAGTTATCTTCCAATAGAAGGATTTACTTGGTAGTTCCTGGTTTTCTAGCTCATTCTTCTCCTGTCACAGTGATCAAAACAGTCCTTGTTGATATGATTATCATAAGGTCAAAGAGTCCCATAATACTGAGCCAGCACAGACAGGACACCTGCCTGAAGAGTCACCTAAATCTGCAAAGTATATACACAAGACATACATTTATGTTGTATCAAGCATGTGAGACTATGAGTTTGCTTGTTAATAAAGCATAGCTATGGCTATCCTGATATCATCACCAAGTTCTATCTAACTGAATATATACAAGTGTATTTATTATATGCATCAGTGATGATGAAAAACTAGAAACAACTCCAGTATCACCAATAAAGGATTGGTTGAACAAATTATGGTACAAAGGAATAGTGTGCAGTTACTGGGAGGAAACATGTAATGACATTGAAAGATATTTAAGATATACTACTAAGATGGAAAAAGAAGTCAGTTGCAAAATAACATATATAATGTGATTGCACTTTTGTAAAAAGAAATATATATGCATATATATAACAAATATGATATATACATGAAAATATGGATAGAGGCTATATGCTATTATATTACTATATGCAGGGTAAAAATCTGTAAGGATGTTTTAAATTTATAGGATATTTTTGCTCTTTAATGTTTCTGTATTGTTAGAATTTTTTTAAACAAGGATCACAGTTTACTTTTATAAACAGAAAAATATATATAACATATTTAATGTGACAGTCATATCTTGCCCTTCTTTCTATTTTTTCACCTTCAAAGTTCATACATAAGTTTAAAAAAAAATAACCCTAAGTAAGAACATATAGTGTCTTTATTTGGTTTGATTTTTTTCTTTTCATTTCATTTGTTTAAAAATACATATTTACCAGCAGAGCATGGACATGATATTCTACTTGCTTGTTTCTATCCCTGAATTCTGTGAGACAATTCAAAATTACTTTATTGATGTATTATATTCAGTGCTTTAAATGCCACTTTATTTAGTTATTTGGTTCATCTTGAGAATTCTTTGTTAGACTATGTGAAATGTATGCATTCCAGGTTTGCTTTTGTCATCCAACATTGCAGTGCTTCTGGTTAATGTTTTAATTAGGCAATAACTTCGGGCAAAGGAACAGTTCGCCACACAGCTGATAGTTTGTTGTGTCCAAAGTTAATGTTTAAAAATGTAAAATTTTAACGAAATTTTAGAATGGGTTTATTTTTAAAAGATTCATTTAATTCTCAGTGTAAATTTCACTTGTCAAATCTATGTAATTCTCTTTTAATAAGAATTACTGTTCTCAATTACTGTAAATATAATAAATAGGAGGAATGAATTATCATTTTATATACCTCATTGGCAATGATGTTTCTAGTACTTCAAACTAAAAAATACCATATGGAGGCCTTATTTAAGCTACTAACCATGTGAAAAATGCAAATTGCAGGGGGGGGGTCATTAAGGGGGTAGAAAATTTTTTCACTTGTTCATATTGGTTCAACC